AATCCAGTTTTTGTCAGTAATTGAATCCAGTTTTTGACTCTAATTTAATCCAGTTTTTGACTCTAATTTAATCCAGTTTTTGACTCTAATTTAATCCAGTTTTTGACTCTAATTTAATCCAGTTTTTGTCAGTAATTGAATCCAGTTTTTGACTCTACTTTAATCCAGTTTTTGACTCTAATTTAATCCAGTTTTTGACTCTAATTTAATCCAGTTTTTGACTCTAATTTAATCCAGTTTTTGACTCTAATTTAATCCAGTTTTTGTCTCTAATTGAATCCAGTTTTTGTCTGTAATTTAATCCAGTTTTTGACTCTAATTGAATCCAGTTTTTGACTCTAATTTAATCCAGTTTTTGACTCAGTTTAATCCAGTTTTTGTCTCTAATTTAATCCAGTTTTTGACTCTTAATTTAATCCAGTTTTTGACTCTAATTGAATCCAGTTTTTGACTCTAATTGAATCCAGTTTTTGACTCTAATTGAATCCAGTTTTTGACTCTTAGTTTAATCCAGTTTTTGACTCTAATTTAATCCAGTTTTTGACTCTTAGTTTAATCCAGTTTTTTTCTGGTTTTGTTCTGTTTTCTTTGTCCTAATTCTGTCCAGCTTCATTCTTTTTGCCTGTTGTATTAATTTAATCTGATTTAATCCTAATTTCCTAATGGTTGTGTTCTGTTAGGATCCATTTTTATCTCTATTCTTATTTTCTCTACATGTCTTTTTAATTTTCCCCTTTTTCTATATATATATATATATATATATATATTTAATCCAAGTTTCTGTTGAGTAAAAAAAAACATTTATTCTGATGTATTTATTTTTATTCCAGTTTTAGTCAGATTTTTATCCTGATATATTTATCTGGCTCTGCTCTAATTTGATCCTGATTCGGTCCAGATTATATTTTTTCGTTTTTTTTTTTCTATTTCCTCTAGTCTTGCTCTTTTTTTTAATGCTCTCCCTCTTTTATTTATTTATGTTTTAACTCATTTTAATCCCAGTTTTCCCCTGATACCCAGAGTAGATCTTAGGTTATTTCTGCCAGCCGGGTTAGAAAAGCACTGATCGGTGTTTTCTCATTTGTTTCCACCCAGATTATCCAGGATTTGGGGTTAGATCAGGTTAGATCAGGTTAGATCAGGTTAGCAGGAGGGAAACTGACTCTGGCTGCTCAGAAGGGGAATATAAAGACCTCCATGTTGGAATCTGTAGAGGAGGAAATGTTTGAATCGACTGTTTTTGTTGACAGGAGCCAAAGCTCAGCGGAATCCGGACGGGTTGATCCCCTGGACCAAGTTCTGCAAGGTGAGCCTCCATGGCCGTGCATCGGCTCGTCCTCAGGTGGAACTCGCTCCAGAAGGAGCTAATATGTTTCTATGGTTACTTTAGCAGAGCGCCAATGAGAAATCCTTCCCCTTCTGGCTGTGGATCGAAGGAATCCTGGACCTGATAAAGAGACATCTGCTGTCTCTGTGGAACGACGGGTGAGAGCTGCTCCGGTTCTGGTTCTGGTTCTGCGTTTCCACTGTTCAGGCTCATAACGCTTTCTCTGCAGCTGCATCATGGGTTTCATCAGCAAGGAGAGGGAGAAGGCCCTGCTGAGCGACAAGTGTCCCGGGACCTTCCTGCTGAGGTTCAGTGAGAGCAGCAAGGAGGGCGCCATCACCTTCACCTGGATCGAGCACGACGTCCACGGTAAGCTTTTATTGTGAAGGGACTACAGGAAGCAGAGCTGTTATCTCAGATGAATCAACTCTGTCTCTGTGATTCAGACAAGCCGGTTTATCACTCGGTGGAGCCGTACACTAAGAAGGAGCTGACGGCCGTGTCGCTGCCGGACATCATCCGTACCTACAAGGTGATGGCTGCGGAGAACATCCCGGAGAACCCGCTGCGCTTCCTCTACCCCGACGTCCCCAAAGACAAGGCCTTCGGGAAGTACTACCCCAAACCCTCAGAAAGTAAGACCCGCCGCGGCTTCATCCCGCTACAGCCCGACCCGATCAGACGATAACTAGAGTTCTGCTTCTGTCGCAGCTCAAGAGCCAATGGACGTGGAGAGCACGGAGCCCAACGGCTACATGAAGACGGAGCTCATATCTGTGTCTGAAGTGTAAGATTCTGAATAATCCTCTGAATTCAACATGTTTATGAGGAGTCATGACTGCAGAGGACGGGAGTTTAGTTTGTATCATTTTAGACAATCAGCTCAGTTTAAACTAATGGTTTTATTATTTCTAGTTAAGTCCAGTCAGCAAGGAATAACAAATGCGTCATTATTGATACCTTAAACTAATATGTTCGTGGTGGTTTCATGAATTTAGCATTAATCAGTAAAAAAATAAAAATAATAATTTTCGTCGCTATTTCTGAGTCTGGGAGCGGCCATTTTTGTCTGCCCGCTTTACAATTAAAATCAATGCGAACTACTAAATACATCTTCAACTAAAAACAATTATTGAGTTGGATGTTGGAATACTTGGGTAAAGGGGAAAAAAATAGAGTTATTTCACCTTTCTGATTCATGATCCCCCACTGATGGGTTCGTCGTTGGATCGCCAACTTGAAGAGGGAGGATTTGCCATCGAACTTCAGACCAGAGAAAAAACACGTCATACGGGACATGCAGGTGGCGCAGTGGTTAGCGCGTACGACCCATGTACAGCGGCCGTGGTCCTCGATGCGGTTTGAATCCAACCTGTGGTCATTCCCCCTTTACCGTCAGCCTACTGTCGAAAATACGAGTCACTAGTGCCGTTAAAAAAAAAAAAACATGTCACATGTAGCCAACATTTGGAAGAAGAACGTTTTGAAGCGTGTTGTGACAAACACCAGATACAGCACTGGGACTTGATCAACAGCCGATACCGCACCGTGACGTCACAAACCAGTAGGTGGCAGTAGTGTTCTTTATCAAAAATGGATGCCTCCAGTAAAGCACATTCACATGAAAATTACTCTGAATTAAAAACACTGATCATTTATTGAACAGGATGGAATAATTAAAATTTAAAGTACTTTCAGAAGTTTGAATTTTTTCTTTAAAGAAAAAACAATTTTTTTTTTTTATTTAACCTTTATTTTACCAGGAAGTCCCTTGAGATAAAATCTCTTTTTCGAGGGAGACTAAATAAGAAAGAAATCCCTTTTCTAAAGAAAAAATAATTTTTTATTTGCTACAATAACAGCAGATGAACAGCAGGCCGGATGCAACGAGTCAAGAGTTCATTTACGTTTTAGATTAGCTATTTAGAATAATCTAAGTTTAAATTTAAAGAAATGATAAAAGACACTAATTAAACACAGAACTTTAACGGTTTTATCTGAGATGCTGTTGTGGTTTTTATCCTCATTCTAATCCTGGGTTTTGTCTTTATTTAGATTCCGTCTTTATGTCGGCTCTTTTATTTTGGAGTAGCAGCTTTTATAATGTGTCTACAGTTCGTCCATGTTTGTTTTTTTTCTGTTCTTGGTTCTTTATTCTCTAGAGATGCTAAAATGGTGCAAAACGGCACAATTTATTTATTTTTTGTCCAAAAATGTTTCCTTTCCTTCAAAATAAGAGTCTGGAACATGGATGCAGGCTGAGAGCAGAGCTTTTTGTTCTTATTTGCTGTCAGACATATCAGAGCGTTACAGAAGAGGATTAGGGCCACTGAAAGAATAAAAAAAATATCACCAGATGTTTTTTTTATTTTTTCAGTATAATAAGAGAAAAGAGAATTCTGACTTTTTTTTAATTATTAAAACTAGATGAAACTAACAGGCTTGTTGTTGCTGCAGACATCCATCCAGACTGCAGGACAACATGATGCCCCTGTCTCCTGACAACTACAAGGCCTTGGAGCGCTACGTCAGCCCCAGAGACATCGACGCCGTGGTTAGTCCCCACACTTCCTGCTCCTTCATGAACCATCAACTCTAGAAAGTACCTGATTTTTAGGAATTTTCTGAAGCTTAACCATCAGGATCAGGCCAAATGGGTCATTTAGCAGCTGAGAAGTTCAGGAAAACAAATAAATCAGAGTTCAGGTGCCTCCAATGCTGCCACCTGGTGGCAGGCGATGATTACTGCTGTTCAATGACCCTAAAAGGTTGGAAGCTTTAAATTAATTCGTTTTTAAATTAATTCTGCAGCCCAGGAGCAGAGATAACGGATCACTTTTATTTAACATCCTGGTTATTTGTTTTTAACAAGTTCCTGCTTTTATTTTTAACATTTCAACCTTTATTAAAACAAATTATTTTTCATTTAGGAAGGACTAGTTTATGACGTGTTCTGCTGAAGATTTAACTGCATTCAGCCTTGCTGGTAGAGGATGCCATAGATATAATAGAGGCTAAGTATTTTCTTCCTGCTGCTGGAGGTCGACTCGCGGCCATCTTGTCACAGGCAGCTGACTAATGGTTCGTGTTGTTTTTAAAAACCGCACTGACCCAAATATAGGCTAATATATCGCTTATGTAGCCATGATGGTGGACTAAACTGCTGGATTATGTTCAGCATCTAGAATTAAAGCCACATTAATGTTTGTTCGACGTTTGGTACCGCAGAAAGCTTGCCTGTGACAAGATGTCTGCCGCTGATGATGATGGAGACGTCTAGCTTCTATTATGGATCAATCTGATGGGCTTAGCTGTAGTTCCACTCCCAGGCTGTAGGTGTCCTCACAGTAGGGCGGTCAGGACCATTAGAGGAAGCAAACTGGGTATGTTCAGGTCTCACTGAGGCTGTGTCTGATGTCCGCCTTAATCACTATAGTGGTTACGCCATTTTGGACGAGTGTTCGAACGTCTAGTGGAGGAAAAAGTTTGGGACTCAAAATTTCCAGCAACGCACCTTGGAAAGAAGTGATCATCCATGGTCTGTAGGCGAGCAGATGTATCATAGAATGCTTTGCGAGAGCTCTCCTCTCAAAGCATGATGGGATTTGTTGTGGCGACAAATGACAAAGATGGCGCAGGCACCGCGAAAAGTAGTGATCATCTCACTATAGAGTCCCCGCTCTATATAGTGATGGAGGGATTTAGGGCGGACGTACACACACAGCCTGAGGCTATCCTCTGCTGCCGTGGCAACGCTGCAGCTCTGAACGTCTCCTGTGTCTCGCTCTTTTTCTAGATGGATCTTCAGGGCTTTGATCCTCAGGTAAATCCTCGTGTCGCTCAGGCCTGCATGTGCAGCTCCAGTAACCCTGCATGGTCGCACCTCATAGAACCTCCCCACTTTAACACCGCCAGGGTTCACCGTGTCTGACCCGACCCGAACAGAGCCAGAATCTAGTGATTCGGACCTCTGGTTCTGAACCAGCACAGATTGAGTTCCGTCCGTTTCTAGTTTTTGAAGTGATTTCAGCCAATCTGTTCTGACCGGTTCTGGTTCTGGATCGCTTGCATGCCTCAGATTGGTTCGTTCACAGAACCAGTTAACCTTTTATAACCTTTAAGTGGGGGTAATAATTCAGATGCATAAAATTCCACCGGTAACATTTTAACCAGCAGGTGGAGCCATTGCGCGCAGCTCCAAGCTGAGACCAACAGATCTAATCCTAACAGCTCTGGAACTGTTATAACTAGAGCTCTGAAAGTTTCTGCATTTGTGGTTGAAATGATGTAGAACCAATATAATACAATTTATTTTTCCCAAGAATGTCTTTATTACTGCTTTTCAAAAAAGACCCGATCATTTCCATTTTCTTATCCATGCAAAATAGGCGAGGATTACCCAAAATAAGATGGATGTTAAGAGTTTAAATGCTAAACCGCTGGCAGCCCGGTTCAGGTCCAATAGCGCCGGAACCTTTGGATCAACTTAGGCTGTAGAGGGAAAAAAAATGATAGGAACTAAAGTGCAAGCATGACTTATCCAGGCCCACTGCTGCATGTTTGGTTCTGTTTGACCCGACTGGTCCTGCATGTTAGGTTCCATTGAGACCCGACTAGTCCTGCATGTTAGGTTCCGTTTAGACCCGACTGGTCCTGCATGTTATGTTCCGTTTAGACCCGACTGGTCCTGCATGTTAGGTTCCGTTTAGACCCGACTGGTCCTGCATGTTAGGTTCCGTTTAGACCCGACTGGTCCTGCATGTTAGGTTCCGTTTAGACCCGACTGGTCCTTCATGTGAGGTTCCGTTTAGACCCGACTGGTCCTGCATGTTAGGTTCCGTTTAGACCCGACTGGTCCTGCATGTTAGGTTCCGTTTAGACCCGACTAGTCCTGCATGTTAGGTTCCGTTTAGACCCGACTGGTCCTGCATGTTAGGTTCCGTTTAGACCCGACTGGTCCTTCATGTGAGGTTCTGTTTGGACCCAACTGGTCCTGCATGTTAGGTTCCGTTTAGACCCGACTGGTCCTGCATGCTTAGTTCTGTTTGGACCCGACTGGTCCTGCATGTTAGGTTCCGTTTAGACCCGACTGGTCCTGCATGCTTGGTTCTGTTTGGACCGGGCTGGTCCTGCATGTTAGGTTCCATTGAGACCCGACTAGTCCTGCATGTTAGGTTCCGTTTAGACCCGACTGGTCCTGCATGTTAGGTTCCGTTTAGACCCGACTGGTCCTGCATGTTAGGTTCCGTTTAGACCCGACTGGTCCTGCATGTTAGGTTCCGTTTAGACCCGACTGGTCCTTCATGTTAGGTTCCGTTTAGACCCGACTGGTCCTGCATGTTAGGTTCCGTTTAGACCCGACTGGTCCTGCATGCTTGGTTCTGTTTGGACCGGGCTGGTCCTGCATGTTAGGTTCCATTGAGACCCGACTAGTCCTGCATGTTAGGTTCCGTTTAGACCCGACTGGTCCTGCATGTTAGGTTCCGTTTAGACCCGACTGGTCCTGCATGTTAGGTTCCGTTTAGACCCGACTGGTCCTGCATGTTAGGTTCCCTTTAGACCCGACTAGTCCTGCATGTTAGGTTCCGTTTAGACCCGACTGGTCCTTCATGTGAGGTTCTGTTTGGACCCAACTGGTCCTGCATGTTAGGTTCCGTTTAGACCCGACTGGTCCTGCATGCTTAGTTCTGTTTGGACCCGACTGGTCCTGCATGTTAGGTTCCGTTTAGACCCGACTGGTCCTGCATGCTTGGTTCTGTTTGGACCGGGCTGGTCCTGCATGTTAGGTTCCATTGAGACCCGACTAGTCCTGCATGTTAGGTTCCGTTTAGACCCGACTGGTCCTGCATGTTAGGTTCCGTTTAGACCCGACTGGTCCTGCATGTTAGGTTCCGTTTAGACCCGACTGGTCCTGCATGTTAGGTTCCCTTTAGACCCGACTAGTCCTGCATGTTAGGTTCCGTTTAGACCCGACTGGTCCTTCATGTGAGGTTCTGTTTGGACCCAACTGGTCCTGCATGTTAGGTTCCGTTTAGACCCGACTGGTCCTGCATGCTTAGTTCTGTTTGGACCCGACTGGTCCTGCATGTTAGGTTCCGTTTAGACCCGACTGGTCCTGCATGCTTGGTTCTGTTTGGACCGGGCTGGTCCTGCATGTTAGGTTCCGTTTAGACCCGACTGGTCCTGCATGCTTAGTTCTGTTTGGACCCGACTGGTCCTGCATGTTAGGTTCCGTTTAGACCCGACTGGTCCTGCATGCTTAGTTCTGTTTGGACCAGGCTGGTCCTGCATGTTAGGTTCCGTTTAGACCCGACTGGTCCTGCATGCTTGGTTCTGTTTGGACCGGGCTGGTCCTGCATGTTAGGTTCCGTTTAGACCCGACTGGTCCTGCATGCTTAGTTCTGTTTGGACCGGGCTGGTCCTGCATGTTAGGTTCCGTTTAGACCCGACTGGTCCTGCATGCTTAGTTCTGTTTGGACCCGACTGGTGCTGCATGTTAGGTTCCGTTTAGACCCGACTGGTCCTGCATGCTTGGTTCTGTTTGGACCCGACTGGTCCTGCATGTTAGGTTCAGTTTAGACCCGACTGGTCCTGCATGTTAGGTTCCCTTTAGACCCGACTGGTCCTGCATGCTTGGTTCTGTTTGGACCGGGCTGGTCCTGCATGTTAGGTTCCGTTTAGACCCGACTGGTCCTGCATGTTAGGTTCAGTTTAGACCCGACTGGTCCTGCATGTTAGGTTCCCTTTAGACCCGACTGGTCCTGCATGTTAGGTTCAGTTTAGACCCGACTGGTCCTGCATGTTAGGTTCCGTTTAGACCCGACTGGTCCTGCATGCTTGGTTCTGTTTGGACCGGGCTGGTCCTGCATGTTAGGTTCCGTTTAGACCCGACTGGTCCTGCATGCTTAGTTCTGTTTGGACCGGGCTGGTCCTGCATGTTAGGTTCCGTTTAGACCCGACTGGTCCTGCATGCTTAGTTCTGTTTGGACCCGACTGGTCCTGCATGTTAGGTTCAGTTTAGACCCGACTGGTCCTGCATGCTTAGTTCTGTTTGGACCCGACTGGTCCTGCATGCTTGGTTCTGTTTGGACCCGACTGGTCCTGCATGCTTGGTTCTGTTTGGACCCAGTGTCCGTGTCTCTAAACGGATCTCTGCTTGCAGGAACAAGACATGAGCTGCACCTTCAGTCTTTATGCGACCTCTAACCTTCCCTAAAACCCGCTGTAGATGTAAGTATATCAGATCTGACCTGAATGATTTCTGAACACATTCTAATGTGTCTAGTTCCACAGCTGTTCATGTACTGCTTGAACCATAGAACCAAAACTGACTAAAGAAATGAGTCCAGAAAGGGTCCAGAACCACAGCAGAGAACCTTCCAGGAAAGTCGGGTCCACCAAAGTTACTCTATGAGATCATCAGCAGCACATCTAGGAGGTCCCAGTAGAACCCAGAACCACATCAGGGCTCCAAGACCCAACAGAACCACAGCCGACCCAATAAAGAACACAAACATCTCTCTAAGACTTCTGGGATGAAAGAACATCATCCCAATGGTCAAACAGGATGTGGTGAAACAGAACCGGGTCCATTTGACCCATTAGAACTCAGTAAAAGATGCAGAACCAAAGGTGTGAACCAGGAGCTGATTCCGCCCTCAGGATGAACTTTAAGGTTTAAACATGAGTTCTAGGTGTGGCCCGGTTAAGAATCCACCGTTCACCAGAAACCGTTCCGGTGAACAATCCACTTTTCATTGGAACCGGTTCTACTGAACAATCCAGTGTTTATCAGAACCAGTTCTGCCTGGATTTGGTCTGAAAAGTACAGAACCATGAAGTTCTTGTTTCTCTTTCCACAGATGACAGACTTTCCAGATGAAAACTGACGTCTCAGTCGAACTCTGCTGATGGTTCTGAGCCCGTATCTCTCCCCATGGTTCTGCCCGGCCCGGCCCGGTTCGCCCTGCATGTTGGGTTTCTATAGTTAACTGAACTAACCTCCATCACTCTGCTGAGAGAAAGAAAAACTTTCCATTCCTTCTTGTTTCTGTGACTCTGCAGCCTTGTTGGGTTTAAATCTTTGGTTCTGAACTTCTGGACCGGATCACAAATTATGCTAAAGTGTCTTGAAGTCTATTTATGTAAATGTGAGAAATAAATCTTTTTTATGTAGAAACTGACTCTTTGGTGATTGATTGTTCTTATGAAGGAGGTTCTGCTGAAGCTCAATCCTCAGCAGGTAAAGGATCCAGAACACGTGGAGGTGATCTGGGACTCAGCAGCTCCTCCTGAGCTGAAGTCCATCAGAACAATCAGTCCAAAGCTCGGTCTGAACTTCTAAACCTGTTCTTCAGCTTAGAGCTTCAGCTCCACTCATTAAATTTTTTTTTTTTTTTTTTTTTTTTTTTTTTTTTTTGGCGAATTTGCTCAAATTTGAAAAATAAATTTACCCCGAAAACCTTAACTAGTGTACTGAGCGGTGGCTCAGGGGGAAAAGAAAGGGGATGGGACCCCACAGGTTGCAGGTTCAAGACCTGGAACTCTCTTGTTTTTGCCTGTTTTTAACCACTTTTAGATCAAAATGCACCAAGAGCCCTTATTGGATTTGAACCCGCAACCTTTATATTTATCAGCCAGTCTTCTTACTAGCTGTGCTACATGTTCATCTACTATAATATCTTTTTTTTATAAATTTGTCTTCTATTTTTGTGTTTTTGGGTGGAAAAGTCACCGTTCTTGTGACGACTGAACGTTTTACTCCCAAATTCTCATTTTCTTCAGGAAAAAGGTCCAAACCATCAGAACCGCTGATGCTGATCTCACTCATCCCTGTTAGGGTGGATCTTCTGTTCTGGATTCACTCCACAGCAGGTTGTCAGACCAGAACATCACAGGTGTATCTTTCTGAAGGCCTGGAGTGGAAATGTCTCCACCAATAAGTTCAGCTTTTTTTCCCCCTTTCTGCTGGTTTACTGTAGCCAACAGTAACTGGGGTTGGGTGCAGCTATCTGTGTTCAGAGCATTTTGAGTCCGTGTTTTGTCTCGCTTCTCAGTGTAACATCATCAGATTTGTCACTTTGAGGCATAGGTGAATATTAACCAGCAGCTATTTCAATGTTTAAGTAAAAGAAAGGAGGCCAGTTGGTTAAAAAACATTAGAGATGCCACAGAAAAATCTGTTTATTAGACATACCAAGCTTTTTCAGCTAAAAATGGCAGCTAAAAATGTAAGTTTATACAAGTTAGTATTGTAACGCCAGAAGCTTGAGAAAACAGTTTAATCTTCTTTACTAGTTAATAAAAGCTGGGCTTCTCAGAGGACCATGACTCCCAGTTAAAAGTTAAGAGCTTCTACAGATCTTGAAATTTTGTTTCTGGCCTCATTATATCAGTAAATAGGTCCATAAATCTTTTTAAACAGCACAGAGAGAAGTAGGCATAGCTGCAGCTTTAACCCTTTAAAGCCCGATCCAAGAATAAAAAAAAACAGAAAATTACTTTTTTTGGGTTTGAATTCCTTATTTGCCCTTTTACCAAAATATGTAAAAAGAAAAAACTGAAATACATTTTTGCTATAATTTATAATAGTATAATTTATTACTATGCGATAAGTCAAGATTATTTTTTGTGTAGTCTTCTACTGGCTGTTATCAGGTATATCTGATTGTGTACAATAGGATTTTGAGCTTTTTACCATTAAATTATGCAAAAGGTGTCAGACGCAAAACATTTCAGAAACCGTATGTATCAATATGATACATTTGGCATTACAGGGTTAAAGGTGAAACAGATTTACTGGGATATGCAACATGCAATAAAATATATTTCCAAGTTTACCAGAAAGTACAAGAAAAAAATATGCTTTGCTATATTTAAAATTAAGCATATCCATATTTTTCTGGATGGATGGAATTAAAATCGTACTTCATCGGAATGCATCGGAATCGGCTGTTATTTGTTATATATTAATGTTTTATTGGCTATATATATATATATATATATATATATAAAATGGACTAAAAAGCATCTCTCTGACTATAAATATCAGTGTATTATAATTATCTTGTGTTCTCAACAATAGGAAAGCATTTATTAAATATATGTTTGAGCTCATTTTTGGAAAATACAAAAACCATCACTAAATTATACCCTAACAGAAGATGTTCCCCTTCAGAACCAGAACTGGACCCTTCATCTCTACATCTACTGCTCCACCTGAGTCTATACCTAGAAATGTTTTAAAAAGATCAGACTTTCTGCTTCTCTCTAAAGAGAGCAGAAGATTTGATTTGGATCCGATAACTAGAGTTTGAAGGCAGGAGAAGGTTCTGGTCTCGGTCTAGGAAGGTCCAACACGGTCAGCAGTTCTGCTTCTAAGTCATGAAATCTAATGGAAACGTCTGTAAACAGGTTTATTTATGATTTAAGAAACTTTTATCTTCATCTGGTGGAAAAACAACAAAATTATTATTTTAAAGGATTTTTAAAACAATCTTAAATTAGAATGTTTTAGTTTCATATTAACAAAGTTTTAAATTTACCCTAAAATACAGAACCTGTCAGAACCTGAATTTAAGTAATAATAATAATAAAATACCAGAAAATGTTTGTTTTTCAGTGTTTTATTAGTTTCTTTTTTCAGTGTACATAAATAACTGATGGAGGCGCAGCAACAAAAACACACGAAGAAGAACCAGAACCGACATGTTACATTCAGAAAGCTGCACCGACCCAAACAAACGTCACATGAATGAAAGAGCTGCTGCTGCAACTTTGTGCTTCGCTAACGGACCTGGTTCCGACCTGAGGACCGGAATGTTCCACGTGTTACAAACACAACCGAATGTCTGCAGAAACCTTTAGGTACGAGTGGAACGGCCCGCTCAGGTTCACCATCCATCGGCAGGGAGAACATTTCGGACCCATTTCCTCCAGGTCCGCTTCCCTACATTCAGGTGAATTGTTGCAGTTTTCTACAGAAACTGGAAGGTTCTGGAAGGAGCAGGTGGGATGGACCCGGCCAGCCAGACGGAAAGGAGCAGGTAGGAACCGGGACTCAGCAGGAACGCATCAGAACCAGTCGGATAAATACGGATGGGATGCAAAAACACATTTAAAGAAAACTTATAGAAGCAATTCGATAAAATGTTAAACATGTACGGAGGCGACCCGGGTTTGAATCTGACCTGTAGCGCCTTAAAAACTCAAAAAAAAGAACAAAACTCATCATTAAATGATTGCTCCATTTCAGCGGCCATCTTGAATTTTACACTGCACAGAGAGGGTTTCTAAAATCATTCAAACTAAATAGTAAAAAGCTACACAAAGATTAAAATTAAAAACTTTACAATATTTTTTTTAAATCTAGAAATAAAGATGTTGAACACTTAATAGGACTTATGTCTTAAAACGCTTATAAATACACAGGTTTTCAATCTTTGATTGATTGCTGCATTATGGGTAAACTCTGTGATGACTCCCAGAGTGGGTCAGTCTGGCGGGCCGGGAAGGTTCTGCTCCGCTTCATCAGGAGCATCCGATAATAACTGGTTATGTGATTTAAAAACAGCTACCTTCTGCCTGCCTGTTTCCAGCTGGATTTATAAACACTGCTGTTTATAAATCCAGCTGCAGGACTGCATTTGTTCCGGTTCTGGTAAAGATCCGAGCCGTCCTATAGGAGAACAGCTGACTGACCTGCAGCTTCTCATTCTGACCCATAAAGCAGAACCGGGTCCATGCAGCCTGGCAGAGCCGCCTCTGATTGGCTGCTTCTTTAACCCCTTCAGGTTCAACAAGAAGAACGAAAAAACAGAAACTTTGGAACGAGAACAGTTCAGTTTAACAGGAAAAGTAAAAACAAAGTTTAAATAAAACACCAGAAAAAGAAAAAAGGTGACTGCAGACCGACGACTACATATTTACACAGATGACATCAAACACCTCAGGAGGAAGGGAACACCCAGTGGGCGGGGTCAGGGGTCACAGCCCACGGCTCTGAGGAGAAACGTTAAAAAGGTGGGACCCCACATCCTGCTGCTACTTGGTTTTCAGAATAAAAGCAACAGACACATGAGGAGCTTTTATACTGAAGGATGTCGGGCTTATCCTGCAGGACCGCCTGGCCGCAGGCCGCCGCCTCCATCACTCACAGCATCCCGTCCAGGTTCTTCTCAGCGCTCTGCTTCTCGGCGGCGCTGTCCTGAGGGCTGTACTTGGTGTGGTAATCTTTGAGGATGGTCACCACGTCGTGATGGCCGAAGTGCACCGCCTCGTCCATAGGCGTGTTGCCCCACCTGCAGACAAGGCCATCGTCGCTTTGGGTCATTAACAGAATCTTTTAAAGTTCTGAACCTGGTTCAGTCTGACTTAAACCAGGCGCTAAGCAGAGGCTGAATGAGAGCAGCTTTCTCTCCTCTTTGGTCTCAAAGCTGAGAACCAGAATAAAGCAGCTGAACTAAACTGTTCTGGAAGTTTAAAATGTTTGTTCTACATTTGAAGAACTGACCAAAGAGTTCTTTAAATCTAATCTGAAAGATTTAACTCCTTTGTTTTCATCACAGCTCACTTATAGTGCATCACTTAGATGCCTTCCCTGGTGTAAACAAAGGTTCCCTCAAAGTGCTGATGAAGATTCTCAGTCATCCAGGTCAGTCATTACAAAGAAGTAAAACAAAAACAATCCACTGGACTTTGTCCCCAAGTTAGAAGACGTTTTGCTTCCCATTCAGGAAGCCTTTCCAATTCAAATATCAGAAAGACGTTGAGTTTGAGGTTTTATACAGCAGCCCAACAAAGCCTCGTTTTTGTTTAGAAAACATGCGAACTGAAACACAACAAACGGCTCCATCCCTTTGGAATGGGGGTGGTTTGGCTTCTTTTGTTAGCCTGCAATACCGCATACCTGTCTACGGCCGTTTCTCAATTCACTAGAACAAGAGTACGGACTCATGTCCTCACCAAGTATGTTCCTAAGAAGAACACAGGAAAGTCTGGACTTGGTGAGAACGGGAGCACGCAGCATAGATATGGGTCAATCGGAACAAAAGCGTACTGATGATGTCATCACACGCTCAGCTCGTCTGGAGCTGCATTTAACCTCCTGCTATTAATAGTCTCTAGATAATATTAAATTATTACTTTTTTCCATTTAGTGGGGAATAATAATGGAAACACTCAGATAAAATCAAATGAACATTTTGCCAATAATAAAAAAAAAAATGGCCACGAAGGCCGCTGCAGACGGGCTAACGTTAGCCCTGGCTGCTGTTAGCCTCGGAGGTCCGCTGGTTGCCGCAGTCCTCTCAACTTCGGAAATTTTTTTTAAATTACGCATTAAATGGGCCATATTGTGATGCTTTAAAGTTAATATTCTCGCCTTAAATGATCTTAAAACCTACTTTTATTGAACAACAGCAACAGAAAAAAGAACTTTTAACTTTCAGTGGAGCGCTCCATTGGAAGCTGCTGCTGCCGCAGTGCATGCTGGGACAGCTGTCAATAACATAACGGAAAAGTCTGCTCTGATGCATGCTGGGTAATTAGGGAGGGCCTTTGTCCGTTCTCAGTCTGCGGTTCTTATGCATTGGAACAGTACTAGGTATGTTTCATGAGGACACGAGAACGCACAAGTGCACACATTGAGAAACAGTCTATGTCTCTGAACGGAGGGTCGTTAAAGGGAATTGTTGGCCTGGCTGAATAGGCGAGGTCTTCTGTTCCCCTGTTAAAGGTTCCCCCAAAGGTTCCTAACGTTCCCTTATTCCCTCACTAATAATCATGACATTGAGATTCATTTATTTAAAGTTATAGACTTCTGATGAAGTAAATCATAATTCTACCAAATAATGTTTTATTTACCTCTTGGATTAGCGCTGGGAGTTGGTATGAATACGATCAAATAGAGCTTAGAAGATATTTAACCTCATTCCTAATTCTTGTGACATCACTGCATTCATTATTAATTGTTTTAGTTGCATTTTCTTTCTCTGCGTAGGTAGTTAATGTTTACAGCAGTTGAGTTTCACTTATTTAAGAGTTTTCAACCAAAATATTATTCTTGTAAATAAATTCTTATATCCTGAATAAAAGTTGTAGATTATTTCATCATGTGGTCAGAGTTTCCATTGTTCTAAGAAGGATGTATGGGTGTTTGTTTACAGGAAAACGCTACAGTCTAGAAAGCAATTTGATTAAATATTAACTGACATCAATGCACAGCAGTCAGTCAGATAGATAGATAGAAAATAAATAGAAGTTCTCGGCCTGTAAAGCATTGCATTCATCAGGGTTCTGTACCTGTCTTTGGGCACCGGGTTGACCTTACAGGCCTCCAGCAGGAAGCGGACCACCTCAGCGTGACCTGAAACACAGACAACATTCAGCTTCCAGAACCCGGTCAGCACCAAACACCTGGGTCTGCCCCCCCCCCATCTGGACCCGACCTTCAGCTGCAGCCACATGCAGCGCCGTCCTGGAGTCGTAGTCCCTCTGCTCCATGTCCATGGAGGACAGGGCGAACCTGCGCAGCGCCGACACGTCTCCGGTGTACGCAGCGAACAGCAGGTTGATGACGGACTTCACCTGGAGGAAGAGGAGGAGAAAACCTTCATCCATTGTGTCTGTTCAGGTACTGGGGGAGGGGGGGGGGGGGTTAGGTTGCGGCAGCCCCACCCTCTGGTCTCCGCCTTCCCGCCGAGGGTCATGCTTCTTGGCGAAGTGCCTCAGGTTGTCGTAGTTGTGGAAGTTGAAGAGGGAAACGAGATCCTGCAGAGAGAGAAGAGGCTCAGAATCAGGATCCAGAGGTTCTGGTCTCCTTTGGACCTGCTGACGTCAGAATGGACGTGAAACCGGGACAGAACCGCGGTACCGTGCAGAACTGGATTCCTCTCACGCTGTTTCCCAGTTTGTCCAGAGGAGGAGACCAGCACATGATGCCCATCACGTTGGGAACCACCAGCAGAATCCCACCAGCCACTCCGGATTTGGCCGGAAGACCGACCTGGAGCAGAGCAACACCACAGCGTTACCGCGGTGACTCGTATCCATGGAAACGGTGTAAATGCACCCCAGCAGAGGGGGAGGGGCCGGGAGCAGAGGGAGGTACTGACGTGGAAGGCGAACTGCCCGGAGAAGTCGTACATGCCGCAGGAGTGCATCAGACTCAGCGTGTTCCGGACCGCCTCGGGGCTCAGCACGCGCTCGCCTGTGATTGGACAGAAGCCGCCATTGGCCAGCGTCGCCGCCATGACGCTGGCGCTCTCACAGGTCACCTCGATGGAGCAGAGCTGCAGGAGAAGATCCTGGAGGTCAAACCAAGAAACGGCTGCGGTCCAAACATGAACAGAACCTGAGACGGACCTGGAAGTAGAAGTCCAGGATGGACGTCATGTCGGTTCCTTCAGGGAAGCACTGCGGAGAGAAACAGCATCAGAACCTGAGAAACAGCTGTAGGCGGACAGCAGGCAACACCAGGCTCACCTTCTTCTCCTTCAGGTAGTAGCCGATGGCAAAGTTCCTGTCTCCAGACTCGCGCTCCGACTGGAACCTGGAACCCAAACCCAGAGTTAGAACCTTCTGCAGCAGAGAGGGTTGCTTCCTGCTCAGCTGATCTAGGATCAGGTATAGATTGACTCTTTAAAGGACTCACGTGGCGTTGCTGAAACCCACGTACTCGTTTCCTGCAAGTTTGTTCATGAAGTTCATCACCTGCAGAAATAAAAAAAAGAGTTCTGCTTAAAGATCTACGCTGACCTCTGAACCTCTAGATCTACGCTGACCTCTGAACCTCTAGATCTACGCTGACCTCTGAACCTCTAGATCTACGCTGATCTCTGCACCTCTAGATCTACGCTGACCTCAGAACCTCTAGATCTACGATGACCTCTGAACCTCTAGATCTACGCTGACCTCTGAACCTCTAGATCTACGCTGACCTCTGAACCTCTAGATCTACGCTGACCTCTGAACCTCTAGATCTACGCTGACCTCTGCACCTCTAGATCTACGCTGACCTCTGAACCTCTAGATCTACGCTGACCTCTGAACCTCTAGATCTACGCTGACCTCTGAACCTCTAGATCTACGCTGACCTCTGAACCTCTAGATCTACGCTGACCTCTGAACCTCTAGATCTACGCTGATCTCTGAACCTCTAGATCTACGCTGATCTCTGAAACTCTAGATCTACGCTGACCTCTGAACCTCTAGATCTACGCTGACCTCTGAAACTCTAGATCTACGCTGACCTCTGAACCTCTAGATCTACGCTGATCTCTGAAACTCTAGATCTACAATGACCTCTGAACCTCTAGATCTACGCTGACCTCTGAACCTATAGATCTACGCTGACCTCTGAACCTCTAGATCTACGCTGATCTCTGCACCTCTAGATCTACGCTGACCTCAGAACCTCTAGATCTACGATGACCTCTGAACCTCTAGATCTACGCTGACCTCTGAACCTCTAGATCTACGCTGACCTCTGAACCTCTAGATCTACGCTGACCTCTGAACCTCTAGATCTACGCTGACCTCTGAACCTCTAGATCTACGCTGACCTCTGCACCTCTAGATCTACGCTGACCTCTGAACCTCTAGATCTACGCTGACCTCTGAACCTCTAGATCTACGCTGACCTCTGAACCTCTAGATCTACGCTGACCTCTGAACCTCTAGATCTACGCTGACCTCTGAACCTCTAGATCTACGCTGATCTCTGAACCTCTAGATCTACGCTGATCTCTGAACCTCTAGATCTACGCTGACCTCTGAACCTCTAGATCTACGCTGACCTCTGAAACTCTAGATCTACGCTGACCTCTGAACCTCTAGATCTACGCTGATCTCTGAACCTCTAGATCTACGCTGACCTCTGAACCTCTAGATCTACGCTGACCTCTGAACCTCTAGATCTACAATGACCTCTGAACCTCTAGATCTACGCTGACCTCTGAACCTCTAGATCTACGATGACCTCTGAACCTCTAGATCTACGCTGACCTCTGAACCTCTAGATCTACGCTGACCTCTGAACCTCTAGATCTACGCTGATCTCTGAAACTCTAGATCTACAATGACCTCTGAACCTCTAGATCTACGCTGACCTCTGAACCTCTAGATCTACGCTGACCTCTGCACCTCTAGATCTACGCTGACCTCTGAACCTCTAGATCTACGCTGACCTCTGAACCTCTAGATCTACGCTGATCTCTGAACCTCTAGATCTACGCTGATCTCTGAACCTCTAGATCTACGCTGATCTCTGAACCTCTAGATCTACGCTGACCTCTGAACCTCTAGATCTACGCTGACCTCTGAACCTCTAGATCTACGCTGACCTCTGAACCTCTAGATCTACGCTGACCTCTGAACCTCTAGATCTACGCTGATCTCTGAACCTCTAGATCTACGCTGATCTCTGAACCTCTAGATCTACGCTGACCTCTGAACCTCTAGATCTACGCTGACCTCTGAACCTCTAGATCTACGCTGATCTCTGAACCTCTAGATCTACGCTGATCTCTGAACCTCTAGATCTACGCTGACCTCTGAACCTCTAGATCTACGCTGATCTCTGAACCTCTAGATCTACGCTGACCTCTGAACCTCTAGATCTACGCTGATCTCTGAACCTCTAGATCTACGCTGACCTCTGAACCTCTAGATCTACGCTGATCTCTGAACCTCTAGATCTACAATGACCTCTGAACCTCTAGATCTACGCTGATCTCTGAACCTCTAGATCTACGCTGATCTCTGAACCTCTAGATCTACGCTGATCTCTGAACCTCTAGATCTACGCTGACCTCTGAACCTCTAGATCTACGCTGACCTCTGAACCTCTAGATCTACGCTGATCTCTGAACCTCTAGATCTACGCTGATCTCTGAAACTCTAGATCTACGCTGACCTCTGAACCTCTAGATCTACGCTGACCTCTGAACCTCTAGATCTACGCTGACCTCTGAACCTCTAGATCTACGCTGACCTCTGAACCTCTAGATCTACGCTGACCTCTGAACCTCTAGATCTACGCTGACCTCTGAACCTCTAGATCTACGCTGACCTCTGAACCTCTAGATCTACGCTGACCTCTGAACCTCTAGATCTACGCTGACCTCTGAACCTCTAGATCTACGCTGATCTCTGAACCTCTAGATCTACGCTGATCTCTGAAACTCTAGATCTACGCTGACCTCTGAACCTCTAGATCTACGCTGATCTCTGAACCTCTAGATCTACGCTGACCTCTGAACCTCTAGATCTATGCTGACCTAAAAATGTATAGATCTACGCTGACCTCTGAACCTCTAGATCTATGCTGACCTAAAAATGTATAGATCTGCGCTGACCTCTGAACCTCTAGATCTACTATGACCTCTGAACCTATAGATCTACTATGACCTCTGAACCTCTAGATCTACAATGACCTCAGAACATTTAGATCTATGCTGACCTAAAAATGTATAGATCTGCGCTGACCTGTGAACCTCTAGATCTACAATGACCTCTGAAACTATATATCTATGCTGACCTTAGAACCTCTAGATCTACACCAACCTCAGAACATCTAGATCTTTGATCTCTTAACCTATAGATCTAAGCTGACCTCAGACGGTATAGATCTTTCATCTCAGAACCTATAGATCTATGACGACCTCTGAACATCTAGATCTACGCTGACCTTAGATCAGGGTTCATCCCAGCATGCCAGGTTTAGATCCTTTCTTATACTTTCAGTCATCAAAACATTTATTGCTAATAATTAAGGACAGACATGGATGAATGATGATGGATGAACGGATGGAAAAGGGTTAAAATATAGGAAACGGAAACAGAGAAAGTGAGCAAGAAAATAGGAAAGGAAGGTTGTAGAGAAGGAAGGAAACTAAAGGCCTTCTCTCCTCTTTTTGCAGATGAACTTTGACCTTTAGCCTCCTTCAACTGAACCCAGTCATACTCACATAGTCGAACTTCTCGGCGTTGCTGGCTCCTTGCTGCAAAACAAAGCATGAGGTTACAGCAGCAGAACCAGACGGACACACAGAGAGCTGCTCATCTATGTTATGCAGAAATCACTACAGATCTGTGGGGTCAAAGGTCATTCAGCTGTGCTCCATTTAGATTAGACGGGAAAGAACTCATCTACTCAGTGTTAGGCTAATTGGAGCTCTGTCTCCATGGTAACTACTGTATGCTGTGATCAGCCACACCGTCAGTGAGTCAGTGATGAAAACATCCAGAGCGAAGAGAGAAGAAGAGTTACCAGCATCATCGACCTGCTGCCTGGCAGATTATCTCCTAAAGAGCCTGCAGCTGGAACAGAGAGGCAGAGAGCCTTGATGGACCCGACCAGAACACAGCTCAGAACTTTAAGGTCCAACAAAAAAGCTCAGCTAAACAGACAGAAGCTCCCTTTGGTGAAGAACTTCTGAAGGTTTCTGGGTCATAAAGAGGTAGAGAGAACCCTGTAGCCACCGGTGCAGAGCTCAATAAACAGCAGAAAGTAGATCTTTCCTCCTCCTGCAGGAACAGCAGGCAGAATGAATGAAGCTGCTCTATGGGCCTTTTTAAAGGTGACTGGATCAGGAGGTGGCGCTGTAGTGCTTCTGAGGAATCCGCTCCGTGGGTTGGGATGAAGGTCAGACGAGGAAATGCAAGGAAACCATCAGGAGTCTCTGGATCCATGATGGAAGCTGGAGCTCCACCTCTGCTCCCTCCGTTTGCATCAGCCTAATCCCCTTTTAGCATGATTCTCCATACCCTTAATCTGTAAACGTTAATCTGCAGAAGCGCGCTCTGTGGATCATTTCCTGTTACAGCAGAGGAACTGCGCTCTGCAGACAGAGAGTGGAGCTTACCTTGATCAGGGAGGTGCAGACAATGGCTCCAGCGTTAACCATGGGGTTGTGGGGTTTATCTGCAGAAAGGCACCAGAACGGGTTAGCTAACATGTTGGTGCTGGCTGCTCTGCCTCAGCTAAGGTTCCTGATTCAACAACAATGAGCTAAAACGAGCCAGAACCGCCGGTGACCCGAGGGAACTCAGCAGGACTCATATTAAACAAAAACATCTCAAGTTTTCTGGAGACTTTTAGGAAAATGTTTATTCTATTAAAGTGGACTTTAGAGTATTTACTGACTAAAACGTCCATAAAAACTGCTTTTAAAAAAATTAAAGTAATCTGTGTTTGATCAGAACCTCTCAGGTCTGCATTGTTCATTGTTTTAAATCCATCGTATTCATTCCACCCTGGAACAAAGACCTGTTTGAATAAACAACGGGAACGGCCGAATGAAAGGTGATCAGGTCCGTCGTTTCAGGACTCAGCCAGAGCCGCTCAGCTCTGTCACACAGCGCGGCCTGTGTTTTTATCCCGCCTCTTATTTCACCGGATCGCAGTTTGACGACGTGGATCCTGGGCTGCCCGGGTCGGCCGGCGGACGCACGCTGACACGTGAAACCGTAGACGCGCGTCCTCACCTTCCTCGTTCAGGAAGAGCTTGTTGAACCTCAGGCCGCTGGGCTCTTTGCCGATGAAGCGGTGCACGTACTCCGTGCCGTGGTCGTGGACGGCGATGGCGTATTTCAGCGGCTTCACACACGACTGCAGGCAGAAGGGGACCTTGGTGTCTCCCACCGTGTGCCTGAGAGGAAGACGGCTTTCTAAACTTCAACTTCACAAATCCATAAATCACACATGATCACAGCTGATAATTATAAATAAAAACGGGATGATACCGCTGGCCGTCGACGGTGCACAGAGCGACGCTCCAAAGGTCGGGGCTGAAGCGAGCCAGCTGAGGAATGTAGTCTGCCACCTGCAGGAAGACACGGACACAGCAGCATTAAGCAGATCTTAGACGGTATGGAGTCAGAACTCTAAAAATAAAAAACTTGCCTTATTAAAACACAAACGCCTAAACTATAAAACTTTTGATCCCTGTGTGAATGTTTATCGCTCTGACTGACTTCCTAGCAGCCATGATGCGTCCCCTGTTGCCGTACCTGCCCTCCGGACATGTTTTTGGCTTTGTCGTAGAGCTCATCGATGTGGGCGCAGAACGACTGGAAGTCCGGGATGACAAACTTCTTCCTGAAGGCCTGGGTGAGCAGGACAATGTTGCTCTGCACACATCTGAGAGCAGAAAACCACAGGAAGCCTTAGAACCGCGTTATAAAACAGCTTAAACCAAAAAAAACTAACACTGAAAGGACTCTAACTTTCTTAGTCCATAAGCTCCGCCTCCTGGACTGGAGGCGGAGCTTATGGACCAAAGGCGATTTCCACTAAATGCAGTCGGATTATAAAGCAACAATAAATTTCGCTTAAAACATGCAGAGCAAACATAATGGAATGAAAACGCTGCATGATTCACTGCAGCCACAACAGAAAGCTCTGGCAGTGAGTCAGCAGCCGGACCATTGGTGTGTATCTTTAGAATATGCTAGCTCCAGCGACTGCTGTCAGAATCTGAACAGGTGATCTATCTTTATTATTTTTTTATTAGTTTTAGTCGATAAAGATGTTATGGTTAGATTGAAACACATTGATCACAGACTTTCTAATTCGATTCCTCGAGTGGAGTATCATTACAACAAACATCGTATTGACATCCAAACAAATCGCATTTATCTCAATGATTGTTTTACAGCTGTAGTTATTGAAGTTTATGATGTTTGAAGTTGTTTTATTGACAGTTTCATCATTTTAAAAATGTTCCTCCTGCATGTAACCAATGATAATCAAATGAATGACGCATTTTTAGCTTTAGCATTAGCTTAAAGCCTTTTGGTGCGAAACAACACATAGCTGAAATAAACAAACTGGATCGAGGAGACGACCTCAGAGTCACAGTTAGCCCTGAAATATTTCACTCTCCTGACAGACTTAGAATTGAAAAAGTGACTTAAAAAAATAAAATGTTTTGTAATTTAGGATCTTCTATTGAATCTGATAATTGTAATAAAAGTTTAGATATATATTTCGGCCGATTCTCAATATGTGTACTTGTGCGTTCTCATGTACTCGTGAAACGTCATCATCCGCATCCCTGGTACTGTCCCAATTCACAAGAACAGCAGACCGAGAACGGTCCCCGGGTTGAGATTGACATCTGTCCCAGCATGCATTGTGGCAGCAGCAGCTTTCAATTGAGCGCTCACAGAGCTCAGACTATTAAGTTAAAACGTCACTTTCCTGTTACTGTTGTTCAATAAAACTACGTTTTATGATTATTTGAGGTGAAAAAATTATACTTTTAAGCATCATTATACTTTAAGAAGTTGAGAGGACCGCAGCGACCAGCGGGGCTCTGAGGCTAATGGTAGCCAGGGCTAACGTTAGCCCGTCTGCAGCAGCCCTCTCTCTGCATAGCCGAGTGTAAAGGACCTCTGGCTTTGATGGAGAGTTTTTTTTGTTCTATTTGGTAAAATGTTCATTTGATTTGTGTTTATCTGACTGTTTCCATTATTATTCCCCCACTAAACGAAAAAAGTCAGAGTTTATTATTATCTAGAGACTATTAATAACAGGTTAAATGCAGCTCCAGACGAGCTGAGCGTGAGGTGACGCCACAAGTACGCATCTGTTCCATTTGACCCATATCTATGCTGCGTGCTCCTGTTCTCCCCAAGTCAAGACTTTCCTGTGTTCTTCTCCGGAACAAACTCGGCGAGGACACAAGTCCATACACACGTTCTAGTGAATTGAGAAACAGCCTTTGTCTTTCTTAATGAGTTTATTTTACTTCCTTCTAGGTTAAACTAAATCTTCTGTCAGGACTTGGACTATTTTTTGGGATTAAGTGTAGGGAAGAGCTGTGCAGTCAATTAGATCTATGCTGCATAAATTGGCTAATGTGGCGGGAAAAAAGGGACTTTCAGCTCATTTTCAGCTTATGAATAAAGGAACATAAAAAATAAAGGAGGAACGGTGCAAAAAGGAAAGAAATAGGAGCTGTGAGTAGAGCTGGGATCTCCGGTTTTACTTGTCTGACTAATTGAATAGAAGGTTTGTTCTGACAATAAAACTGTGATAATTAGACCGTTTCATAAAACAGCCTCTCTGAAAGCTAACAGGATCTTTGTTTGGACTTTTCTTCTCTAATCTAGAGCCTCATTCATGCATCAGTTAAGAATCAGGCTTTGATCCGGTTCTGCATAAAGAACATTCAGCCTGTCTGCAGATTGTTCCTGAGACCAGATGTGACGTTCCTTCCACCTGGGCTACGCCACCAAGGCTCATTTATGCTGTGAGATCTGCTGTGGCGCCACATTCCTGCCTGATCCTCTCCATTGGGCTGATTAAGGCTCCGATCCAGCAGTAATCACACCGTCGACGTGGAAGCTGTGCCTCTCCTGCTGCGCGGACATTTGGCCTTCAGCTATCAGAGCGTCTCTAATCCCTGTGGAAACACCCCCCCTCCCACCAGTTCACGCGCTCCTCCCTGTGAGTCCAGCTCTATAAATAATTCGGAGGAGCAGGAAGTGATGGATGGAGTCCAGCAGCAGCGGGCTCTCAGCTCCGCCCCCTGCTGTGCCGTCATACGACCTGAATCGGCGGGGGTCCTGATGTCTAAATGTTTATCCAGCTCAGTAGCATCTCATCTACAGCATTTCTTCTAGTTCTTTACCAGTTCAAACCACCAGAAGCTGCAGCCTGCATTCAAACATGGAGGCCTTAATAATTCAGCAGAAGCAGCGACCCTTTCAGCCACATGGACAGACAGAGGCCTCTTCAATAATTAAGATGGACCGAGATGGAAGATCGCTGCTGAAAACAAAAGGTTTAGATTTTAGACTCTAAACAGTGAAAACGGATCAAACTGGATCTGCAGTCTGAAATTAGCCCCCGTGGCTTTTTATAAATCCTCTTTCCCACTGAAAATAGCAGGTTAACGGGTGTTTTTCAAACATGGCCGACATACTAACAATCAGGATTCGGCTTTCTTCCCACTGTCATAAAAAGCTGGTCTTACCCCCGCTGGCAACTGCGTGACCTCTGTCCTGTGGCTGTGCGTCTGGTGACATCATCGCGCTGTGTTAGTTTATGATGTCACCAGTGTGACAGAAATCAGGAAAGTAAACAATGGAGAGCGTAGTCAGTGTGCTTTAATTTTCTCCTCTATTATCTGTCTCAATCCCTCTCAGCAAAGCCGTTTCTGCTTGTTAGATCAGAAGCGACTGGCGGTGTGTGTTGATGACCGTACGTTGCAGTCAATGGTATCGCACAGCCGAGGTGATTTTAACGCGGGTCGCTTGCCGAGTAATTTAACCTGTGTAGGTAGCAGATCTGCTCGGGTCCTGCGCATGCAAGTGACAATATGTTACATGATTGGCTGAACATTGCCACATGATGTCAAACATTATGGTTGCCCAGACAACGATAACATCGTGCAGCGTCAGAGTTCTGAGTCGGGAGCATCTGTAGCATTAGCCTGTCTAATGACCGATGAAGTTTTAGCTCATCGGTAAAAAAATCGGAACAAATCTGTTTGTGGTGAACAAAGTAACTGCGAGACCATGGTATAGAGGGGGAGAACTGGGTAGCGTTGTAGCTAGCTGTACTCATTAGCTAACAGGTTAGCCTCTTTTAGCTTGGTCAGTTAGCCATATTAAGGCCAATTTATGCTTCTGACGCATGCATAGCCTCTACAACCGTCAAATCCGTCTCTGTGCGCGACCACGTCCCCCACGCAGAGGCTCTGCAACCATCGTCGCACACCTTGAGAAAATCCTGACTACGTGTCGGACGGTTGCAAACCAGCGCAGTCCTCAAGCGGAAGTGCACAGACAAAAAGCAGCTGTTATTGGTCCTTGGTATGCCTTTCCAGCTGTCTGTGTGGTCGTCCTACTCGATTCGGTGCCAGGGCGCGCCATTTTCAAAAACCGAGGATCAACTACAACTACGACGAAAGGTTAATCGAAGAGGTTCGGAAGTACAACCACTTGTACGATGCATCAGACAAATTTTATAAAGATGCCAAGGTCTCTGCCAAAACGAAGTTCGTGTTACCACCCGAAAGTTCTCGAATAGGCTCTCCCTTGGGCTTTTGCGGGAAACTTCTGAGCGTCCCTACAAATTCCAGACCGACGGTGCAGAAGCATAGCAGCAAACCTGGTTCATGACCAGACCCAAGCCACATTTGATGTGTACGGATGCAGAAGTATAATCTGCCCTTTATGCTACAATACTTTTAACTTTGTGTCAACAACCGTTCGTTTTCTACAAGTAAAATAACTGTTACTTGACTAAAATCTCTACGAAAGTCATTTTTGAGATGTTCCATTTGTCCGTCCTGTCCTCAGATCTTAATAAAAAGACTTTTTCTTGTAATCTTGTTAAATGGCAGAGCTCAATCTTAGAATGCAGTTCTTTCTTTCAAGATTTAGAATGATTGTTTTTCTACTTTTGGCTACTTTAGGTCAATGAAATGTAAAATAATAGCAAATATAGGTAATAACATGTTGAGACTCAGAAAGAAATTATATTCTTAATAAACGGATGCAATACAGCTTGTCCGAGTGGAGTTGCCACATGTTGACGTCATCAGAGGGGCAGGGCAGATCTGGTACCTACATCGGGCAGACATAGGTCAGTCAGCTGTTCCCACTGCCACTAAAAGACGATCGTTCCCGGGTTTAAACAGGTTTCTCAGCCAGTGGGAAAGTGTTATAAGAAATAATCAGACTGATGACGAAATCCGACACTTCCTAAACTCTGACCCTTCAGTCCAGATTATTATGGGTTAATTAACGGGTGAGCAAGTACCATCTGGAATAGAAAGTTGTTATGTGCGTCGGGCACATTAATTATGTTTGTTTCTTTTTTCCCTTTTAGTGTTGTATAGACCTTAGTTGAGTCATTTAAATTTTAGAGTTGATAAGTATCTTTTTTCTTTTGTAAATCGATTACGTTAATTTGCGTGATATTGGTCCGCCTATACAGGTGCTGGTCATAAAATTAGAATATCATGAAAAAGTAGATTGATTTCAGTAATTCCATTTAAAAAGTGAAACTTGTATATTATATTCATACATTACATACAAACTCATATATTTCAGATGTTTATTTTGTTTAATTTTGATGATTACAAATGACAACAAATGAAAATCTCAAATTCATCATATCAGAAAATTAGAATATTGTGAAAAGGTTCAAAATTGATGGCCCCTGGTGCCACACTCTAATCAGCTAATTAACTCAAACCACCTGCAAAAGCCTTTAAATGGTCTTTCAGTCTAGTTCTATAGGCTACACAATCATGGGGAAGACTGCTGACTTGACAGTTGTCCAAAAGACGACCATCGACACCTTGCACAAGGAGGGCAAGACACAAAAGGTCATCGCTAAAGAGGCTGGCTGTTCACAGAGCTCAGTGTCCAAGCACATTAATAGAGAGGCGAAGGGAAGGAAAAGATGTGGTCGAAAAAAGTGTACAAGCAAGAGAGATAACCGCACCCTGGAGAGGATTGTGAAACAAAACCCATTCAAAAATGTGGGGGAGATTCACAAAGAGTGGACTGCAGCTGGAGTGAGTGCTTCAAGAACCACCACACACAGACGTATGAAAGACATGGGTTTCTGCTGTCGCATTCCTTGTGTCAAGCCACTCTTGAACCACAGACAGCGTCAGAAGCGTCTTGCCTGGGCTAAAGAGAAACAGGACTGGACTGCTGGTGAGTGGTCCAAAGTCATGTTCTCTGATGAAAGTAAATTTTGCATTTCCTTTGGAAATCAAGGTCCCAGAGTCTGGAGGAAAAGAAGAGAGGCACTTCATCCACGTTGCTTGAAGTCCAGTGTAAAGTTTCCACAGTCAGTGATGGTTTGGGGTGCCATGTCATCTGCTGGTGTTGGTCCATTGTGTTTTCTGAGGTCCAGGGTCAACGCAGCCACATACCAGGAAGTTTTAGAGCACTTCATGCTTCCTGCAGCTGACCAACTTTTTGGAGATGCAGATTTCATTTTCCAACAGGACTTGGCACCTGCACACAGTGCCAAAGCTACCAGTACCTGGTTGAAGGACCATGGTATCCCTGTTCTTAATTGGCCAGCAAACTCTCCTGACCTTAACCCCATAGAAAATCTATGGGGTATTGTGAAGAAGAAGATGCAATACACCAGACCCAACAATTCAGAAGAGCTAAAAGCCACTATTAGAGCAACCTGGGCTATCATAACACCTGAGCAGTGCCACAGACTGATCGACTCCATGCCACGCCGCATTGCTGCAGTAATACAGGCCAAAGGAGGCCCAACTAAATACTGAGTGCTGTACATGCTCATACTTTTCATGTTCATACTTTTCAGTTGGCCAACATTTCTATAAATCCTTTGTTTTTATTGGTCTTCAGTAATATTCTAATTTTCTGATATGATGAATTTGAGATTTTCATTTGTTGTCATTTGTAATCATCAAAATTAAACAAAATAAACATCTGAAATATATGAGTTTGTATGTAATGTATGAATATAATATACAAGTTTCACTTTTTAAATGGAATTACTGAAATCAATCTACTTTTTCATGATATTCTAATTTTATGACCAGCACCTGTAAGTAGGCTGGGTTTCCACCTGTTAGTCTCTCTCTCTCTCTCCCTTCTGATCGAGCCACCGTCACAGAGGGAGCGTCCAGACGCGATGCGCACGTCTCCCGTCTTTGTAGGCCGCCGCTGACCTCTCCAGCCTGCCATGTGGTATTTTTGTTCGTTAGCCTTTGTTTTTTTGCTGATTTTTTGTAACTTTGACCTGGTGGGACCGGTTGTCCTGTTTTCCTTCTTTTTTTATTTTTTTAGGGTTTTAACCGTTAGTTTGTTGCTAGCAGAGGCTTCGACTGCCCTGTATAGGGTTGGCCCTCTGCTGTAACATTTTGTTTCTTTGGATCGGCTCAGCAGGTCCAACTTTCTGTTCATACTTTGGGGTTTTTTTTTCTCTTAGAGTTTTTTTGGACATGGGGAACTGGGGAAAAATCTGACTCTGTGTTTTTGTCTCTTTGCAGAAAAACAAAACAACTGATCTAAAAAGAAGTTCCAGAGATTAAGAATAAAATAATTCTTTTGAACCTCATGTCCTCAAATATGTTGTGGCCTGGGTGGTCGTAACAAAAGTCAAGAATATTATTGTCTGCATCTGTCACAACTGATCCAGATGTAAACTTAAACCTAAAATCCACAAACAATCCTAAACATTTAACACCTAAAACAAAATAGAAATCTTTTGTACCAACAATATAGTTTTATTTAAATAAAAAGAGGCTGATCTTTAGAAGCATAGGGCAGAAAGTGAAGCGTACTTCTTGAAGAGGTGTCGGTCCAGCGCTCCGTCTGAGGTGGTCTTTACAGTCACCTTCAGCATCTCCATGCATTCTCTGAGCCGAGGGTCTCCTGTCCGAAGCCCCGTGGCTTTAAGAGCCTGGAAAGACCACATGAGTGTCAGAGAGACGGGAAACCAACACGGCAGCGAGGCTCTGATCAGGATTAACCAGCCTGCTGCTGCTTCCTCTGCAGGAGGCTCACCGTGGTGAACTTGTGCGCAGGGATCTTCTCCTGTCCCTCGGCGATGGTGTAGAAGAGCAGGTCCTCCAGGCTGGGTAGGATGCCAGCCTTCCTTCTCCTGCAGGAAACACACACAGAGGCAGGATGAGGGAACAGAGGGGGGTGCTGAGGGTGGAAACAAGGAGGGAGGAGAAACAGCTCTGGCACTGCAAACAGAAGCTCAGAGTGATCAGCGAGGAAGAGGAGGAGAAGGAAGAGGTCCTCCACAGGTGGACCTGCTGCCACAGGGCCATGGAGGTCAGCTGGTGTCAGGGTGCTGCAGCACCAGCCTGGACAGGATGGAAACCATCCAGGGAGGCGGGGCCAAGTTTCACCGTCTGAGCTGGAGGAGCTCAGCATCAGCAGCAGACCAGCCTGGAGACGGTTTCCAGACTCAAACCTGATAAATCAGAGGTTCTGGAGGTCCTGCTGGTGCTCAGCACACCTGCACCGCAGCAGGAGCGTTAGTGGGCGGGGCATCCAGCTCCCAGCAGCATCTCTGCTATGATTCATCTCCAAAGAGGATTTAATAAAAGCCCAGATCGCTCACCGTCTGCCGCAAGGCATCATGGGAGCTCTGCATTGCATGTTAGGGGATGAAGGTGGCTGGAAAAGCATCTTCGACTCCCCGTCTTATCCTTCTGACTCAGTTGCTATGGTGACCACACCAATGTGAGCCTCAGGAGGAGACGCAGGTTTTCCTGGAGATCTGAAAAGCTCAGCATGCTTCAGGTTTCAGCTCCAGCTTTTTCAGGGAAACGCCTCCAACCGTTTGCCTCAAGCAGCCAGAGGTACGACGGAACGGCCTAGTTAAAGACCAGACCAACACATCAGTCAGTTAAAAGCTCGCCGTCCAATCTTAAGATTGAAAAAGCATGCCACACTTCTCAGATTTCCAGTCTTCGACCAATTACTTCCAATCATGCTGGTTGTTTTGGTTCTTTTGCATGCAGCACTGTTTGGAGCAGAGAGCAGCCTGCTGGGGTCCCTTCACCTCTGACCTCGTTAACGAGACCAGAGGGTGAGTGAGGGGGAGGGGGGAGGGGAGGGGAGGGGGGACCACAGCATGGCCACTGGGAGGAGGAGGAGGAGGAGGGGGTGAGAATCAGCCTCCAGGAGCGGAGCTCTACCTCTACAGGAAAACAGGTTGAGAGTGAAACTAAAGCTTAGGAGGGAAAATAAAAGAAAAAATACTTACAAATGAAAAGCAAGGAGACCAACAACATGGAGAGAGAGAGAGAGAGAGGAGCAGAGGGGAGAAGGAGGCGTTAATACGAGACACCGACACGTCGTCCATCAACAGAAACAAAGCAGGAACAGAGAGAACGGGACGTTCCTGCTGCTGGAGGAGGAAACATTCCTGAGAGGAAAACCCAAACCTTGATCAGGATGCAGAGGCTGGAGGGGGGGGGGTTCCTCTGCAACATCTGGATCAGCATCATTACTCTAATGACACTCAAACTCACAACAAGCAGCAGAGAACTGGAAGACTGAGAGGAACAGCCGGATAAGAACAGCTGTCGACCTTTTAGAACAAGATTTATACAGCAAAGGATAAACTGAATGTTTAGACAAACTAATAATCATTAATTATTATTATTATTTAATTAATCATTAAGTTTCCTGGCTCCACTCCCTCCCACAGCGTGCAGCGCTGACAGGCGCCGCCGTACCAATCCATCAGCGCTAGTGATAAGCCGGAGGCTCCGACAGCCGGTGGGCAGAACGCCAGCTGTCTGGATTTACTGCCCACGCCGTGGAGGTGATGAAGAGGAAGACGGTTGAGGTGATGAAGAGGAAGACGGTTAGCAGACAGGAGCTGCTTTTGGTCTTCATAAAAAAAAATTCCTACATTTTCGTTTTTCAAGAAATCAAAAAGTTCAAATCAACCCAAAAAGTTTGACACGCATCCCTGATGATGCTTCATCTTCTTTCCTCACGGCATTCATTTGGTCCCAGCAGCAGAACAACAGACCTGACATCATTTAACAGCTGAGAACCGTTTTGTGTGAGTTGACTGATAGATCTCTATTCTCCAGTCAGCTGGTTTATTGTTTAAGGACAGACAGAGGTTAAAAGGTCATCAGAGAAACTGGTCGTTCTGTTTAGAACTCAAACAGCATCTCATTTTGCCACTTTGCTTCAATCTAAAGTCTATTGTTGATTGAATGAAAAATAAAGGATTTAACGACTCCATCCACCGCTGGCTGTCCATGCAGGGTCAGGATTACCATCCTGCCTTCAAATATTATTTCTGTCGGAGCGGCTCAGACCCCCACATAGTGGCGGTGGGCTGTCAATAGGAATCCCATTCAACAGCAGCCTCTGGCCCGGTCGCCTCTTTGCGGTTCGCCGTGGCCGCTGGAAGGTGTTTTTCATGTATGTGATCCAAACTGCAGGCACCAGGATAATAAAATCGAACATGTTTTGCCGGCAGATTTCTGCATTTTAAATTAATTTAGGCTTTAATAAACTGTTTTAGAGGAGTGATCACATCGTTCTGCATCAGCAGTGTTGTGTCTGTCTCCCTGCCAGCTCCCAGATCAGCTTCTCTGATTGGTTGATGTGGCGCGTTGAGCAGCTAAGGTTCTATTTTTCCAACTTCAGCAGCAGCGCATTTGCAGCACATCCCGCGCGTCAGATGCTCAGAAGCTCAGAGCGCGCTGCAGGACGTTTTGCTGCGCCTTGACACGCATCAATCATCGACTTTGCATAAACTAGCTGCTCCTGCTGCCTCTGCTGCCTTTGGTCTGAACGTAGCATTACCTGCATTGTTGCCAGGTTGGGATGTTTCCCAATCTGGCAGTTTAGGACGGCTGTCTATGGGTGGAAAATGTTTTCTTTAGATTTATGGCCTAAGAGATCAATAGACTTTGGTTCAAATTGGGCGAGATTTCATATATCCAGGCGGTTTATGAACAATTTCTGAGCTGGAAAACGTGAGTCAGTGACATCTGGCAACCCTGCTAAAATGGTGAGTGCGGATGTTGTGCATATTCATATTGTGTTTCACATTTGAGACGCACGCGTTAGAGTGTGCTTCAATCTTTTTTTTTTCGGGGGCAGCAGACATAACAACCCCGATCATTTATATTACGGGAGTTTGTTTTCTGTTTGTTGTTTCTCTTGTCTGTAGTTTGTGGATTGTCCATTTGTGAAATGATAATTTAGATATTTTTGTCTTGGGTAAATAGAGGAGATTAAATAGTTCAGTTTGAACTGTAAAACAGGACAGCTTCTAGTTTCTGCAGCTCATTCTTTCCCCTGACCTGTTTTCAAAACAAAGCAGGGAGTTAAACGTAGGGTGACCAGACGTCCCCGATTTCCGGGGACTGTCCCCGTTTTGGACCACCTGTCCCCGGCTAAACCTGTCCCCGGAAATGTCCCCGATTTTACCGAGGCGAAAAATGTTGCGTGTAGACTGTTATTACGGTAGAGCTGTTGCGCGCAAAGATAGGTATTACGGTAGCTGGTTGCGCAGCTGATAACATAAAGATAAGGAACAGAGCGCACCACTAGAAGGGCGGTAATGATCCTTTTGGATGTCAGCTGCCATTAAAACACAAAGAAGAAGAAGAGCGCATCACTTTTAAAACAGAAGAAGAAGAAGAAGTGGAAGTTCGTTTTTTACAACCTGTGGCAACTGATGGGGAGCTACGCTGAGTGATGGTGAGTGTGTTAATCAATTAATTTTATTCTGATCGGGCTGATCTTGTGATAAATGTTTGGTTTGTGTCCAGGTTAAAACAATAATAAAAAGTAAGACAAGACCACGAGTTGAGCATGAGTAAAAGACGCTGGGTTAAAATGTAGCAAAATGATTGAAAACTCCTTGTAAGGCGCTAATCTGGTACGCTGGTTCTCCAGGGATCAACAAGGGTTTGTATAAAGATGTTTTAGAATGGATAGGTGACCTTTAGTTTATATTTGAGATAGTTATTATAAGTAGAGTTATTTCAATTTGTTTTGATGATTTATGGTTGTGATTTATGAGCATAGACTTCCAGTTTTTGGTGTGCTTTTTTACTGCTCAGTTTGGATATATATGAAAGTTCCTTGTGAAAAAATAGGACTCAGTAACAGGAGAACTGAATAAGACAAGATCTACATGATCTAAGAATGATGGAGGAAGAGATAACCACCTGTTTAATGTTCATTTATTATGTGGTTTTTGCTTGTAGCTCCTAATATTGTGGTTATTAGCATTTTTAGTATTTAGATGAGATATTAATAATAATAAGTTTTCATGTTGCACATCCTAATTTTTTTGGAGGTGATTTTGATTATATAATGTCTCTGTTTTAGAATAATGTAAGATTGATGCTGGAGGAGTGAGGAAGAAGATAGAAAGACAGAAAGGAGATTGAATGAGAGAGGAGGAAACTAGGAACTCTGATAACCCAGGGCCACTGCCTCAGACCCTGTTCAGTTAATATTTCTGTTTCAAACATTTAAAATGTATAATATGTATTAATAAAGTTCAAGTGATAAAGCGTTGACATGATTTGAGTGATAAACTAACATATTGAGTGATGTAGTGTGCAAAGTATGCTGTGGAACACAGAGTGGCTGTATACTCAGGTTAGTAGGAAAAATGAACCTGCTACTTTGAGACACACAGGCCCCTGATGTGGCTAGGTGACAGTAAGAAACATATATGAACCTTTACCTGCAGGCTTGACTACTACTTGTTTTTTTATGTTAATGAAGAAAAAAAATATTTCTTATAGGTATGTACAGTAGATGTAAACAGAATAAGTATTTGTTGCACTTTTTTGAAGAGGTGGGGGAACTCTGTCTCAACAGACAGCCACAGGCATAGAATAAATGTTTGTATGTACTTTTCTAAATTTCTTTTCCTCATGTCACTCTCCCCTTAGGAGGCGGCAGAGCTCTTTGGGCCCGACAAAATTGGAAAGCCCTGCTAATGACCCTTGACCCCTCCGCTCCCACCCCCACCACTTTGCCCCAACCCAGAGACACAGTTCTAGTTTTCTACTAATAACACTATTCATGTTATTAATCTTAGGATATACTAAACATTTGGAAAGGCACATTCCTGGCTTTTACACTTGATTTTTGTTGTTTAAATATTAATAAATATGTAAAAAATATATGAAACCATTACTGTCCCCGTTTCCTAATTTCATCTCGATAAGATGTATTGATTTTTATCCACGAGCAAGAAATGTCCCCAGATTTGATTTCAGAAATCTGGTCACCTTAGTTAAACGTGTTAAAAGTTTAAATTAGGAATAACGGAGGTTGATATGTGGCTCTGATTTCACAGCATGTAGGAGTTAATGAAACAGTTTAAACAAATTAATACATTTTCTTTGTTAGAAAACAATAAAATAAACCAAGTAACTGGGTCATTATTTAATTCTAAAGTTTAAATCAGCGGGCCGGTACCAGGGCCAAAAATGGTTCCCAGTCTGAGGCTGCTGGTGGTTCTGGGGTAGATGGACCCTCTGACTGCAGGACCACAGACTGATTCCGTCTCCACCGTGCAACAGTGATGGATTCCCACAGGCAGCAGACATCCATCTGTGGTTCCCTCTGGGTTAAAGCTGCTCAGTCAGGTCTGACCTTCATCAGACTTTGAGCTGCTGGTTGTTATCAGAAAGCAGCTTCATGTCTGAACCAGAGTCCCCAGCTGATAATGATGATGCTGGTCACGATTCATGCTTATTTCACCTCACATGCCTCCATTTTTATACCAGTCTGTTCAGTTTTATTTATTTATTTATATTTATTTTTTTCTCAGTTTTAAATGGATGGTCCCATTTATTACAAACATAATTCCAGTGACTATTAGAACCATAAAGGTTTCAAACCGCCGCTGGTGTCTCCACCATAACCCGGCTTACTCACTTGTCCGCGGAGGTCTCGCTGCCCGCATCGCTGTGGCCCTGAACCGGGCTGCAGAAGCCCCGGAATCCGCCCTCCCTGCCGGCGGGCTGCGGGGCTGCCCACCCGCTGAACGGACCTCTCAGCGCGGCTCTGAGCGACAACCTCAGCGGGCTCTGGAGCAGCTCCCAGACAGCCGCCGAAGAGCGGAAAGGCAACATTTTAAGACTGCCTTTAAAGACCGACTGAGTTCCTCTGACTTTATCAATTCCAGGAAGGTTGAAATAAACCAGGAAAAGTGACTTTTTGCTCCTGATAAATTCCTACTAATGGTTATTCCTGCGACTCTACGGCTCTGAATGACACAACCTACCCTTTCTCCCGGCAACGCATTTCATTGGACGAGCTCCTCCCCTGCTTGTATCCGATTGGCTGATATGACCGTCAATCACTAAGACCGTCCCACCCACTGTTGACCTGATAACAATACTAAAAAATGTGTCCTTACGTGTTTTATTATTTATCAGAGCCGTTTAATGCGTTTTAATTCCAACAAAACACAATATTTTTATTACATTAAAACACCTAAAAATAAATAACAGATAAAATGGCAATTATAGAAAGGGAATAATAAATTATACCATTTACATCTATTTGAAAACAATGATTTAAAAAATAAACTTACAAACTTTTATTTGGTTTTCTTTAAAAAAAAATGAACGGATAAGTTCGTGTTAAAAAACAATTTAAAAGATAAGATGGAGAAAAGAGATAAAATTCCGTTGCTGCTGGGGACCATCTTATCCTGCTGTGACACCTTGTGGACAGATTTGGGTACTGCACGCAGTCGACTCATAAGTGAATGTGACCTTTACTGGCATTTAAAAACACCACCGCCATCTGCTGGAGGAACTTAATATTGCAGTTTAAATCTTTATTCTGACCTTTTTAACCCGTGTAGGTGATATTTGACACAGAGCGTAAACTAATGGCCCACTAAAACGATTTGTTCATTGGAAACTATTTGCTGATCTGTTTTTCCTCTCTTGGCTCTTGTAGGCTTTATCTAAATCTCTGCAAACTCCTCCCACCTGCACCTCGAAGGAGGATAAAACAAAACAGATTAGAGCTGACTCCTGTGAACTTGGACATGAAATATTCATGGGCTGAGATCTGAAAGCAAAGAGAAGAAAAAAATTCCTTCGTTTGATCAGAAATAAAGGGGACTTCCAGTGAAAATTACAGAAAACGAACAAAAAAAAAATCCCTTGTTTTGTTCAGATGCAGAGGAAATTATGAAATTCAGTTGCCTGATGTTCATATCTGTAGCTTTGTGCTTGTTTTTTTGCAACCACCATCGACAGGATTAAAATGAGATGTGTCCAAACACGCTTCAAGCATTCTGCACCTTCAATTCATTGTTTAATTTCACTCTATTACAGTTGCATGCAAAGTCTTAATCCAATTAAGCCATATCTCAGTGCGGCTCCAGCTGCTAGTTCTTTCAGGTTGTATGAAAAGGTTTAAAGGGTTGGGAAACTTTGCAGTTATGGCCCAACACAAAGTGTATTTATTTTTTAAAAGTTGGGAAACTTTGAGAATAAAAACTGGTGATTAAAACCTTTTATTTAACCTTAAAGAAGCTTTCTAAGTTAAATTTTGTTGTTACTTGCAGCTTTAAAGCAGAAAACAAAGGAAAGGAGGGAGGGAAACAAGGCGATCCCTGATGGAGCTGCAGGGAGGAGAGGCGATAATTCACCCACACCCACACCTTCTCTAAAGCAGTCAGCTTCCTCTAAAGCAGGGTGATGGCTGCACATCCCTCCCACGCTGCTCAGTGGCTGGCTTCCGCCCACCAGCCGGTGGAGCCGCCGCCCACCTCCAGCCGTCGCCATGGATACACATCACCATCATCTGTGACTTAGAGGAGGAAGGAGGAGGAGGAGGAGGGGCGGCCATTTGAGCCGGGCTGCCACTGTGAGCAGAGCTCAGCGTGGGCGTTCAGGAGCCGAGCTTTTCTCCAGAGAAAATCTGTCTACGTATGTGTGTGAGCGTGTGAGAGGACCATGGGAGGTACGTGAGAAGGAGGCCTGCGTCAGAGTGAGTCATCAGCCACTTTCACAATGTGTAGATGTGACGCTGATGCAAATAGCCTGCACAGGGATTCATCTCCTGCTGAAAAACCCTCCTGGTTCTGCTGCTTCCAGCTCACCTGCCTCTGATGACCAAGCTCTTTCTTTACCGGGGGGGGGGGTAAAGGCACCTGAGGGGAACAGGGTGGCCCCCACACCTTCAAACATCCCTCATCTCTTTACGCTGAGATTCATCTGTTCAGCCAGGAAAGGACAGAAGATGGGAGGAAATACAGAGTAAACCAAACATTTATCCCCATAGACTCTACACAGTGTTAAATATGCAGCGTCAAGGTTCATTGACTGTTAAAAATGTCATCTTTTTATTTGATCTAAGTTACAGGCATTCACCCTGCTAGGAATGCTGTACTGGTTTAACTTCAACTGTTTCTCCCAGGGACAGTCGGGCCTTATCTGCTCATCACCCGCAATAAAACTACACTATAACTGTCATGCTTTAACTTCTCCGGATTCTTCTTTGAAGTTCAACAATAAAAGAAATGTCCTGACAGAGTTGACCACAAACATTCAGGGAGTGTAATTCTCTGTCTGGGTCCACACTGGAAAAAACATCTAGAAATAAGTTACAATTCCCTAAATTAAGTGTATTTACCATTAATTTGAGTAGATAAATTAGGTAGTTTCCAATGGAATTAGTATTTTTACTTTTAAAATAAGATAATTAGATAACATTCACTTGAAATAAGACGATGCAATTGTTTTTTTTTCTTATTTAAAGTGTAAATTGTCTTGTTCCATTGGCAAAATGTCTTTTTTACTTCCTCAATCCAAGAAGAAATGCACTTATTTAGATTTAGATTTTTTCCAGTACTTGTGCTGAAAAGTAACTGTTTGTGTCTTTCTAGGGCAATAAGAGTCATTATCATTAACTTTAACATTGACTCTTCTAGATTCAACATAAAAAGATAGAGAAAGAGATATAGACTATGTAGAGCAGGGGTCACCGACCTTTTAAGGCTGAGGGCCACTTCAAGGGTACCGAGACGTAGGAAGGGCGACCATTACTGACCCATGAGCTGCAAGGGTTAGCGTTAGCCTAAACTTTGTTCATTATCAACATATTTTTATTGTTTCTGTTAATTTCTAAGTTTATTTAGACATTGTCATTATGAAATCTCTATAAATGATTAAAAGGAAGAGCAACAGAATAAAATAAAATTTGAGACTTAGCCCACTGGTGGGTTGTTTATTTAGAAGACTCTGAGGGCCCCCCATGCGGTCCTTGAGGGCACCGCGTTGGTGACCCCTGATGTAGAGAGTTAACACTGATTCTGAGTGGGACCAAATGCATTCAGATAGATGTTAAATTTAACTCTTAAAAAGTGTTACTTTAACACTGCAAAATACACCTTTTATATATAGTTTTTATTTATTTTCTTTAAAAAGAGACATTTGTGATGAGGTTAGAGTTTTTAACCAAAACCAGGCAGAAAATGTGCTTCTTTTCATTTATAATCATTTTTTATATATATTAGTTTCAATGCTAATAAATTTAGTCCCCAATTATGTGATTTTTTTCATCAATTTCAGATTTCAGCCTCTTTAGAAAAATCTTATTTGTTTCAGAGAAAAATCCCCAAAGATTTCCCCCCTTTCATCCAAAATAAGTGGGAATTTTCCAGTGGGAGGCAAGTTTGATGACATTTTATTTTTCTCGAATGCCATTTGTCAAAAATGCGTATTTTTTTCCTGCTTAGGGAAAAATCAAATAGATTAATATTTGTAAAAATAAAAATTCTTTATGTAAACAAATGACTCCATCTGTGTTCAGTTTAGAAAATAGAACACTTAATAAAATATAGTTTTGTTTTTACCCGTTAAACATCCTGTTAGGTTTGTTTTTATTAGTAAAAAATGTTATTTTTACTATTTTTTCTCTTCATTTAAAAAAAGAATTTTATTTTGTTTATTGTAAGTTGAAAACAAGTAGCTTTTTCCGAGTCCTTCGGATTCGAGTTTTTTAAAATTCCATCATTACCTCTGCTGTTATAAATATTATAAATATTAATGATTCCTCTAAAAATGATGTTTTATGGTGTACATTTTTGTCATATGTAGTAATAATATGGAAAGATGGAGGATTATTATCTAATCTAAGGGAATATTTTAAGTTAAAAATTGTTAAAAAATAGTTTTTTTTACCCGATAAATATTTTCCCAGCGCTTTATCTTTTAACTTCCACTAAACAATGATAATAAATATAAAATTTATTTTTTTATATAAAAATAAATGCATAAACTGGTTTTAAATACATCTTTAAAGTCAAAATTTGATTCTACCCAAAAATCAATGAAAATGCAACAATACTGAGGTGGATTAGAAGAGAAACACTCCAAAACATAGAGTTCAAAAAATAAAGTTTAATGTTTATGTGCTGTATAACAAATAAAATATATTAGTGTTTAAAAAACAGGTGCATAACTGGGTGAAAGCCTAATCTATCACTTGAAAGAAACGGTGATCAGTGAGACGACATGCAAGCGCTCTCTTTAAAAACCCAGGGAGACGTGGAGTCATTGTAAACCTGCAGAGCTTCTCCAATCCAGACAGAGCGCTGACTGATCTCCCAAAGAGTCCCCGCCCCCGCCGACAGACGTACAGTTACAGAGCACATCACAAAAACAACGCATTTAGGATGCAAATAGACTTATTACTTACATAAATATTGCATTGATCTCTCTGGGCGAGACTAACCTATGTGAACGGGGGGTCAACAGATGTATTTACACACAGAAAGAACACTGAGCCGCCATGTTTCTACGCCTAAACATCAACAACACGTTGGAAATCGGCCATAAACACTGTTAGAGCTAAGGCTAAAAGCAGGTTCTTATACACCAGTTTGTTTGTTTTTTTTCCTTAGTGACAATTAAGATTACTTTTTTCTGTCGTAGCTCTACATACATGAACACTGAACCGACACCAAAAATCTACAGCAAAGTTACACCGGACACAGAAAACCCTGGCTGACAGATTAGGCTATTTGTTATATTTACAAGCTGTTGCTTCAACAACAGAAATAAACTTTTTTATTCTGATTTTTTTTATTGTTTTTTTCTTTTTCTATCTTGCAGCTGCTAAAACCAAAACCCACCAAACCTGTGAGCTTTAATTCTTTTACTGCATCGCGTTTTTTACCTCCAACAGCAGCGTTCTGCTAAATTACAGAGTGAGACGTTCGCTGCTGTCCATCCCCGTCACAAATGACCCGTCATGATCGTGCA